ACTCAAATCTGGAGTGCAATCAAGTATCACAGAAAAGTACTTGGATTCGAGTTTCTCGATGATTATTTTCTTAATCTCACCCGCTAGCATAAGTATCAACTCATTCTGAATTTTGTGTCCAAGATAATGATAATGAATTTCTTTATTTTGAATTCGACGAATATGCTCTTGCATTATAGGATCAAACTCAGCAATCATTTGAATTAAGCTTAAGAAGATACCATTATTTTCTTGGTATATATTTTCATTATCTCCACGAAACGCCAAATTATTTTCTGCAAGAGTTCTAATCACGGATATTATTCTCAACAATACTTGTCTCCAATGTTCTCTATCCTTATTGATTTGTTCCTGCACACTTTTATCAATTGTTTGTTCTTTTTGAAATCTTATTTCCATTTCGATCCATCTACTCAAGTTAGTGATATGGTCATAACTCACTTCATGTTTTCTTAGTTTTTCACCAATATTTTTCCAATTATTTGCACCATCATGTGCCAATTGAGTTTGAACCCCATCATTCTTGAATAGCTTACAACAAAAACAAAATATTTTATCCAAACTTTTTGAATATATCAACCATTTTCTATCATGATTCTCTCCATTGGGTAACCGTCGAGTGTAATGAACAGATGAGAAGTGTCGATTAGCTACATCTTTTGGAAAAATTACATCATTATCTCTTATTGGACCTTTCATTACGATTAAATCTCTTAAATTCTGATTCATATTTTCCCAATTCGCTGAATCACTAATATCAAAGGAGAATGGTTCACTAATCTTTTCATTGATGTTTCTTTCATCCATAACATCATCTTCGATAGATATCTCTTCATTCACCAGACAATGATGTTTTTCAATTGTATTATCGTCGATATCATTCTTATTAAACTCTTCTTCGAGAACTACATCGTCATTATGCTTTTGTTTACTACCGTTAAAAAATTTATCAAGGGCTCCCTCTTGAGATTTAATCAATTGTTCAACCTTCTTATGCAGTTTTCTTTTAAAATATCCAGATTCAAATTTTCTAGTGGATATAATTAAAGCACATAACGGTAGAACCTGATTCAAAGTTCGACTTAAAAGTATCCCAGATTCTCAAATATTCCAAGTGTAGGAATTCAACAATCAACCTGCAAGAAATAATAAATGAACTAAGTTATATGAGAATAAAAGGTTGAAGTAAATTAACATCACAAAAACTGAAATATGCCAGCTACTGAATTCCTATTCTGAAACACACATAAAAACAGAGTGATCAATTGATGATCATCAGCCAAAAATTCACAAACCACTTCTTATGGACTCATAACATTTCACGGACTTATATAATCAACTAGCGAAGACATCATAGTTTAAATCCTAATCAGAAATTCAACTTTTTTATGTACAAATTCGAAAGAAAAAATAAATATCCCTAAATATCAAAACTAATGAATACGGGATACCAAAATCCATTATCTCTAATGCCTCAAACATATATGATTAAATTTTTTTTTTCATATTAAAATTAAAAAATCAAATTGAATTGCAATTCATACAATCAAAATTGAGCCAAAATAAATTCCTGTTCAGACAAAAATTAAAAAATTAAAAATTAAACCTACAGGATAAATGGGAAATTTCCAGTCATAAATCATTGATCCATAAATAAAATTATAAAAATTTCGAGTTTTACTTTCTTGGCACGATCTATAATTCTTTATCCACCAAAAATATCACAAAACATCTGAGAAAACAAAGCGAGCCAAGATAATAAATCATGAAGAATTTCAAGGAGAACCGACCAATTAAATCCCACGAAAAAAATAATTCACACATATAGATACCCACATATAAGAACAACAAAAAGAAATAAACAAATTCTGTCAACAAAAAGATTGGGTTTTACCTCGACAAA